ATATTCTACATTATATTTTTGTTTTTAATATGAACACATCTGATAATCTGGCTTAATTGGTCTTGGTGAGATGGATCAGGGGTTAAACCAAACATTATGCCATAATAAATTGCCATTTTACATCTTCAATAATTTTATGCTTTAAGGTAGTTCCCAATATAAAAATGAATTAATTTGGTCGTGATTTAAAACATTTTTTATAACTAAGTATATACATATAGAATTATATTACTTCATATTATGTATGAATAAATATATAAATGAACAAAATGAATGTACAAGATTACATCTAAACACTTATTAATTAAATTATTTATTTTATCATTTGTATTCAGATTGTTTACCGCAATTCGGAGACCCGGGGCTTGCCTCACGCCCCTCGTACGTTAGTGATCGTAATAATAATCTTTGAAAAAATTTCTTTAAATTCATAACATTTTCCGAAGTCGAATCGACTCTAGCCCTTGAAAAAAAATCGACTCCGACTATGACTATGTTAAAAATCTCTGACTACGTCACTTGTGCATACTTTTGCCAAAAAAATTGAAAAACTGCTAAGAAATGATCAGACTAATAATCAGTTCGTAATAGATTCACGCGCTCGGAAACTTCAATATTAAAATTTTATCAAAATTATTAAATTATTAAAATAATTAGCTAACTCCAAAATGTCACAAAAAACACCAACCGCCATCAAGTTAAAAGTAACGCTCTTATTGGATTCTATCAATTCGCGTTGTCCAATCCCTTTGAGATCGCCCCTTTTGATCGGTTTTATTTGAAATGATAATATGGAATGTTTTCAGTACAACTAATTTTTAATATTTAAAATTATATTTATTTGATTGAAAATATATGCAAAATTGTTTTATTATATGAGTTTTTTGTATTAAATTACATAATTCAATGTGTCATAATTATCATAAATTTATGAAATTATATAGCGAAAATACAGAAATCATTCAATCAATTAGTTTACAACGCGCTATATTCGCGATGTTCAACAACGCTCCTCAATGAGGGTTCTTGAGATCTGTTTGCAAAATTCATTGACGAGCGCTGTTAAACATCGCATGTTAAACATTTCTGTATTTTCGCGGCTAGAGAGCTGATATAATTTGACAATGGAATGTTTAAGAAACCTGTAGAGGATGCGCGGAGCGATTTGACATGCTCATGGCGGGATATGAAACCGTAAAGGTAACCTGGGAATTTTGATGACAATTTTTGAAGGTTAGGACTACAATTTTGAAAATGATTCGAGCAGAAACCAGAGGCCAATAAAGCATTGGAAAGTGAAAGAAAAGCTGAAACGAGGAGGTTTATTGAAGATTAGTCGAGCGGTCTTATTTTTGATAATCTGCGGTCTCTCGATGGATGTGCGTGAGGTCCTTAATATAATATAATAATTAATATAACTTTAATTATTTAGCTAATTTATCAATCAGGCAAGAAATAGCAAAAACTTTAAATGTTTTTAGCAACTTTAAAAGTTTTAAAATGTAATTACTGTCTTGGTTATCTAATTAGATAGGAGTGCTGATCACCACCAGACCAGAAGAATCGTTTTTGTCAAATTTTAATTCAAAATAGTTAAACAATAAAATATGTTTCAGTAGTTTTAAAAAATTGCCATAGATTGTAAACATTTTAAACACAAAATTAGTGTGACGAACAAGCTTGCTTTTCTTTTATTATTTCCTCCAGGACCGGTTGATTTTCTGTATTTGGCCTTTAAAGTCATTCCATTCATGAAAAATAGATTTGACATAAATATGTAGAAGGAATTAAGACAAGAGTTTCTATTAGTCCGTGTTCTCTGTTTATTGAAGAAGTTTTTGGTCAGCGACAAAGCTCCAAAAGATTATTTATTTAAAATCGCGCTCGTGGCCGAGAATAAACTGTTTGACGGGACGGGAAATGCATCAGACAATTTAAAAGAAATGATAAAATCAGTGTCTGATGTTTCCGATCGAGCTGATATAACTTGAAAACAATGTCAAAAAATAATAGAGTTATAAATATGTATAGATAGTAGTCAATCAGTAATACAGATACAAACACCAATGGACATAAGAAAATCCTACAAAAAAACGTTAAAGGTCTATTACACACTTCCTAGGTTCAGAGGAATCAACAACACGCCACAAACATCGTACATGTTAATCAACATAACGCACACGTACGAAACACTTGATAGGCGGGGATCTTTTTGTCATATTCGAATCAAACCCGGCCACTGCAAAACAGCACCAAGCGAACTTGACTGCTAGGCCATCACACTGCCAATACGTCATGAAATGTCACATCGTCATAAAAGCCTTAAGCGGCTGTTGATTTGTTGTAGGTGCAATAATATAAACGTTAAAAATTTACAAAGAAGTAAATCAAATCATAAATAAATAAAATAATAACAAAAGAAAAAATAAAAGAAAAGATTAAAAAGTAAAATAAAATAAGTGAAAAATATAGAATAAAAAATAAATAAAATAAAAAAAAATAAATAGTTAAAATAAAAACACGCCAATAAATAAAATAATGGAAGAGTCTTTGTTTTAATTGTTCTTTGAAGTAGCTTTTTTTCGCCTGTAAATAAAATGCTGGTTTCAAAGTTAGGAAGATTTTTCGCTCTTGTGAGTTTTTTAAATTTTATTTCTGCTGACGATGACAAGCAAGATGTCTACGGCTGCGGAGGTTTCATAAAATCTGACGTCGAGATGAACTTTTCTCTTGTCAAGGTGCGTTGTCCCCTTTTTGACTTTTAGGTTTTAGACAGTGTTGCATTTTTTTTAATTAGTAGAGTTAGAGTCTAATCATTAGACAGAAATTAGGATTAGAAATAGATTTATTTATCTGTACTATGTACAGTGTACGCTGTATTGATTTTTGCAAAAAAGTAGAACAACCTAGCTCTAATATCTAATTTTTCAAGAAGTTTGGATAGTGAAGAGAGAAGAGAAATAGGTCTATCTCTATAGTTATTGATGTCTTCTGGTTTACCGTTTTTAAAAATAGGAATAACTTTAGAGGTTTTAAAAGTATCAGGGAATACACCTATAGACAAAGATAAATTAAAAATATGGACTAGGGGAATTGTTAAATTGTGAATTGTATTTTTTAATCCATCAGCAGCATCAGATCTATTATTTTTCATCTTGGCAGTTAAAGTTATCAATTCAGAAGTTGAGATGGGGTGAAAATCAATAGAATCAGGTAGAGAGCGGCTTATGAATGAAATCGGTTTAGTTAAAAAGGAAGAGTAGTAAAGTGTTCGTTCAGGTGTTCACATATGTCCTGTTTGTCATCTATGAGGATGTTGTTGATGGTGAGTTTAGATATAGGAAGAAAAGATGAGTTAGTGTTCAGAGCTTGCTTTATCAACTTCCATTGGTATTTGGGATCGTTTTTAGAAATAGCAAATTTATTGACATAGAATTTGTGCTCAGTCTTTCTTTTTATTGAAGTGAAAAAGTTACGGAACTTTTTATAACCAAAGATGTTAGAACCGGTAGGAAATTTGATGCTTTTTATATATAATTTATATTTAGCTTTGGATAATTTGATGATATTTTTATTGATCCAACCTTTATGGCATTTGTACTTGGAAGGTAGTTGTGTTGAGACAGCGTCTAGAATCCTGAAGAAAAGAAAGTAGAAATTTGTGCAACATTAATTGATATCGGTTAATGTAGTGACTGAAGACCAATCTTGATTAGATAAAAAAAGTGCTCAAGTGATCTGTAGAAAAGATTTCTAGAAAATTTTAGAGGAGTAGTAGTATTATTCAATTCAAGAGAAGAAGATGTGGTGAAAATAGGAAAGTGGTCTGAAAAGTCATGTAATAAAATACCAGAAGAATGGACTGATAAATTGTTAGTAAAAATGTTGTCTATTAAAGAAGAAGAAGACTGAGAAGCACGAGTAGGCTTGGATATAAGAGGATGAAAATTAAAAGAAGCTAAAAAATCAGGAAAAGATGCAACTGAGTGGTTAAGAGAAGGTTTCAGAAGATTTATGTTAAAATCACCAACAAGATATGTATTAGATTTAGATTTAAGTTTCACAAAAATGAGATTGAGTACATGAATAAGCAATATATGAATATATATATATATACGGCAATTTAATTATACAATTTTAATAAATTACAATATATTATTGAAAAAATATAGAAATTTAAATGAAATTAATAAATAATATATAGCGATAGAGATAGCGATAATGAAAATTGTATATATATACATATATATATATATATATATACACAATTATACTAATTATAATATGTTAAATTAGAATTAAAGTTAATCATGTGTTTCTTTGTTGGAAGAATATTGGTATTATTTAGCTGAATATTTATTGCTAGTTTACGTTTATCGATGAAAATTGATTCTGCTATCTTCAATTTGAAGTATTCTCTTTGGTGTTATTGTCTAAAATTTCCCTTGTTATAATAGTTTTGTGTTGTTTCATTAGGTGGTCTTTTATTGCTCCATGCTGCTTATGAATAGTGAGTCTTCACATTAATGTTGTTGTAGTCATTCCGATGTATTCAGAATTTTGATGCACGCACTCACCAATTTTACATGTAAATGAATAAATCAAATGACTTCTTTTCTTATCCGAGGAAGGTTTAATGTTGGAATTGTTTTTTATTATTAGAGATGATGTTTTCCTGTTCGTGTAGTAAATTCTTAATTTTAATGAGCTGTTTGTATCTATGACTTTAACATTGTTATTTATTATCTTTTTCATTATTTTTTCATCTGTTTTATATGATGAGGACATACTATTTTTATAATAAATTATGATGTTTTTTATATTGTTGTTATTGTCGTTTGTAATGTCCTGGTTATGACATTAAACTGACCCTCACTGCCTTGTGAGTGATGTTGGATCATCAAAGGCTAGGCCCACCGCTTATAACTGTGGTTGCGTAAGGAAGGGCGTCCTGCGTAAAAACTAGCCAAAAAATAATACTTATGATGACGGAAATAACAATGGCCCTCAGTATCCGGCAGAAGAGGGTGAGAAGAATCTCCGGAGACCCAGTCCATGAGGTTGTGGTGCAAGGCCCTGTGGATGGTCTGGCTACTGGCACCCCACTCTATAGTGTGGCGGTGCAAGGCACTATAGATGGAAGGACTACTTGTAGACCAAGGGGTTGGAGGTTTGGTACCTGGAATGTAGGCACGTTGACAGGAGGAAGTTTGGAAGTGGTGGAGGAGCTGCAGAGGAGAATGGTTGACGTGCCTGCAGATCAGATGGTCAGATGGAAGGAGATCAGATGGAAGGGTGAGGGTAGCAAGGTTTGTGGGGGCTAAAGGTGGAAGATATAAGTTGTGGTGGAAGGGGGATGATGGTACAGGAGGAGTTGGTGTGATGGTAAGAGAAGAGTTGGTGGAGAAGGTGTTGGAAGTGAGGCGGAGAAGCAATGGTGTAATTGTGGTGGTGATGGTGTTTGGAAAAGTAATAGTGAGGGTGATATCAGGATATGCTCCGCAACAAAGTAGGAAGGAAGAGGAGAAGGATAGGTTTTATGATGATGTTTCTGACGAGATTGGGCAAGCGGGGTTGGATGAGTTTGTGGTGTTGTTGGGTGATTTGAATGGTCATGTGGGGGCGGATGCAGACGGATATGAAGGTGTACATGGGGGGTGGGGATATGGTATACGGAATGAGGAAGGGCGTAGAGTGTTGGAGTTGGCGGATGCACATAGCATGGTAGTGGGGAATACCTGGTTTACAAGGGAACCAGTGCGATTATTTACATATAGGTCAGGGGAGCATAGGTCGATGATAGACTATATATTGGTAAGGGCCAAACATTGGAAGTATGTGAAGAATGTGAAGGCGATACGTGGTATGCTGCAGCATAGTATGGTTGTGATGGATGTGACATCAAAAGAAATGGGGAGGAGGAAGAAGGATAAATTTGTGGCAAAGAGAAAGACATGGAAGTTGCAGGATGCAGAGGTGAGGAAGGCATTTGAAGTGAAGGTGGCTGAAAATTGGGAGAGTGGTAAGGATGGAGATGTTTG